AAGGACAGAAGACTCCGGGACTTGCTTCACAGCAGCCCCTCTGCCAAAATTCCATTGATAAACAGGCCCAGACAGCAAGATGGGGCCGGGAAGACTCCTGCTGTCTTTAAGGGAAGCACACATGGGACGACTTACCATGGGGTTCTGCATTGCCCACGGAGCAGCGCACGTTGTCAGCGGCCAGGAGATGTGTGCAAGGACGTATCTCCTAGCTGTTTGACTCCTTAGAGACGTATTAAATCCTCCCAAGATTATAAAAGCAATATGTTTTTATTTGAAACCAGTGAAACCACAAAGATATAAGAAAAAATTAATACTCTCCCCCAGTTCTTCTCTGTTCCCCCATCCCGGCGTCCTCAGCACACACACGCTCCTAGATAGCTAATGTCACAGACTGCGGCGTACTCTCTCCCGCCTTCCTCCTTCCTGTGAACATAAACAAGCCCGCCCACGTACATATAGAGATTTTGTCGTCTGGTTTTCACAAAAAAGGAGTCATTCTCTAACACATTCTGTAATGAGCTTTTTTCTCACTTGAATCATGCACTTCCCTCCAGCTCAGTGGACTGAAGGCTAGCTCATTCTTCTTTTAATAGCTGCACAATGTATTCAACCATCCCCTGTGAATGTATGCTTAGGTTGTCTCCTGTTTTTAAGAGCATCTAATAAATGCCTGCTGTATGCAGATCTCCAGACCACGCCTCCTGGAGGAAGGAGCAGATGTGTGCTGAGCAGATCCATATGTGGGCTGAAAATCAATAGGATCAAGAGGAGTTGACAGGAATTCCTGGTGCTGGGGTGTCTCTGCCGGAAGGGGCCTTAGAACTTGTGGTCCAACCCCCTGGTTTAAAGATGAGAAAGGAGATTTGTCCAAGGTCACACAGCTTGCTACTGGAAAATCTGAGGCTGTAATTTAGGTCTTCTGACACCCAGACCAATGTCTGTCCTCTGTACAAAAGCTATTAAAGTAAAAATAGAAATAGGTCCAACAAAGATGTATTTAAACTCACAGATGCCCAAAATTTAGGAGTCGAGCGAGGAGATGGGATGTACTCAAATGCCACAGAGTTAATGGCAAAGAGAAGGGGTCCCTTTTTATACTCCTCCTCCTGCCCCTTTCACCAGTTGGATTTGTCCAAACACTCCAAGCTCATGTCCGCCTCAGGGCCTTTGCACTTGCCATTTTCTCTGCAGGGACCGCACTTCCCTCAAATTTTTGCATGGCTGTCTCCTTCTCACACACTCGGTTCAAATCTCAATTCAAATGTCACCTCTTCAGAAAGGGCCTCCTTGTTTCCACCCTCACCCACAACTCAAACTAATATCAACCCGTGTAGCTATCATCCCTCCCATTACCCTGCTTGCTGTCTTCACAGCGCTTGTCATCATCTGAAGTGACCTTGGTCATGTGTTCATTTACTTGTGCATTAGCGTCTTCCCCATTAGAACAGAAGCTCCATGAGGCAGACACCTGGACTGCTGAGGAGGGTGCCTGGCACAGAGTAGGTGCTTAGTAAAGATTTGACTTGATAGAGCCCAAGTCTCCTGACTGCTGGTCCAGTGATGCTTCCTCCACACCAAGAGGTGTCTTTGCTACATCCGGGCTACAGAGGCTGGTGGCCCTGGTCCTGGACAGAGTGCTGGCCGCCAGCTTCCGTAGAGGCTGGGAGGGGGTGGGGCTCCTGCAAGGACTAAAAGAACTAAAAATTGACAAGTCAGGATGAGGTTCTTGCTTCAGCTTGAAAGCCTCTCTGAACCCTCCCGGGCCCCTCAGGCCCCCACCTCTCTCTGCTGCCTCCACTTTCTGCTTGGCCCCTGATCCCACGAGTGCTTCCAGCTGGACCTTGAGTGGTCTCTCTTCATCTCCCCCCCTCACTCCGAACTGCAGCTCCTCGTGTCCTGACTGCCCATTCTCCTGCCCACAGGCATTCCTGGTGCCTCGCCCAGGAAGGGGGGTGAGCAGGGAGGGAGACCTAGAGGTCTCCTCCTCTGGGAGTGTGATGTGGGGCACGGTCCAGGAGTTCTTGGTCACCGCAACCCTGGGCAACCTTGGCCAAATCTCTTTACCTCTCTGGGCTATGTCTCTTCCTTTCGAAAATGAGGCACAGGAAGGCTACAGAAGCTGGACGGCTCTACAGCTTGGACACTCTGAAGTTGCTACCTGACAATCGTGTTTGTCCCCCAAAATTGGAAAAATGGAACCAGGATCCATTCTGTGTTTTACACGGAAAAAAAATCAGGTTCTGGGTGGGGAAATGGACTGGTGTAGGCTGCCCTGTGCGCGAGGAAAGCACAGGGTATAGGTGACATGACCAGGATGGCCTGTTGTCCAGAGAAAAAAGCCTGTTGGCTGCAGTGGAGTCAGGGGCCTCATACTGAAGGGGATCAGGCATCCTGGGTGTGGGACTGGTGACAGGGAAGAGGGCTGCTGGCTCCAGCAGGTTGGGTTTACTCAGCGTGGCCCTGGAAGGCTCAGGCACAGCATCCTTTCTCAGCCATGCCCAACCACTGCCCTCTCCACAGTTGGAATCCTGGCCTCCTCGTGGGTTTCCCAGCAGGCAGAGGAGAGAGTGACCTCGGGCTACCTAGGGCTTACTGTCCTCTAGGAATTGGGCTGCAGGCCAGGGGTCCACACCCCACATCCACTCAACTTTCTTTTGGTAAATATTGAAGGCTGACTGCATGCCAGGCACTGTCATGGGTGCTGAGGAGACGATGATGAACAACACACACAACCATCTTTGCCCTTGTGGTGCCCACATCCTAGTGGGGAGAGGCCAATAGTAAATAAGAATCATAATAAATGAATAAATTCTGTTAGACGGTGACACATGTATGGGAAAAAAAGAAAAAGAAAAAGTAGAGTGATGTAAGGAATGTGGGTGCCTCCTCCTCTCCTGGTGCTGCGAGATGGAAAATTCCAAGGTTATCAAATTAGGGCTAGAAATGGCCGTCATGACAGAGACTGGCTAGATGCTCACCAAACTCATCACCTCTTCCTCCACGGGCACAGCCACACGTTTTCCAGACTCCTTTGCTGCTAGGTGTGGCCATGTGACTAAGTTCTAGCCAACAGCATGGGAGCCTCTGTCAGGCCTAGCCCATAAAAACCTGCCCTGAGCAAGCCTTGTTTTTGCTTTTCCCATCTGCCAGCTGAATGGGGAGGATGCTGAGGACCTAGAGGAGGGCAGAGCCACAAGAAGGAAGGGGTCTGGGTCCCCCAAAACTGGAGGTCCCTGAAGACCCCACCTCTTCCCCCCACCTGAATAGACTTTACATGAGGGATGAGGGGTTCACCAAGGGCTTGAAGACCAGGGAGGCAGTTTGCAAACCATTTCAAGCAGAGGAGAGAAGCTAGGGGCTTTTAGGTTTTTTTTGTTTTTTTTTAAGATTTCTCGAAGCCATGGCTCTATTTTTTTCTGTCTCCCACTATCCTACTCCTAACCCCATTCATCCATCTATTCACTTATTCATTCAACAAACATGTATTGAGCACCTACTATATCCCAGGCACTGTTCTAGGCACTGGGGATACAGCACTGGACAAAGCAGACAAAAATCCCTGTGCTCCATGGGCTTCCGTTCCAGTAGGGCAAGAACAGACAAACGAGATGATAAGAAAAGAGGGCTCTATTACTAGACCCATTTTATGGATGAGTAGCCTGAGGAGCAGAGATGAAGTGACTTAAGCTGATATAATTTTTTGAAAATAATTTTTTACTGACTGTAATTGAAGAAGTGCAGCTGGGAGTCTGGTGAAGATGAACCTGACATCTTGTCATTTCACAAGGTGGGGACTTGGTTCCTCTTGGTAGAGACTTAATTGTCTTTACAAGGCAGTGGAGATACTGAGGCCGTGAGGCAAGGATTTATGTTCCACTCTGCCTCTTAGTAGCTGTGTGGCCTAGAGCATGTTTCTTACCCTTTCTGATCCTCGGTTTTCTCATCCGCAAAACATGGATGATAAGGTACTAACCCCTGTGGCTGATTGTTCAGTAAGGGCCTCCGATGAGTTTTCTCTCCCTCATCCACTCCCTTGTGTAGCCCCCCTCACACTGACCCTGGGCATGGACATGGGACATCCTTTGGTAATGGGATGTCAGCAAACGTGACTCAAGCAAAGGTTTGAAAACTGCTGCTCACTGGGGTTTGCTGCCTTGGAACTCTGCTGTCATTGGAAGGAGCCCAGGCCGGCCCGCTGCAGACACGTGGCCCCGTCAACAGTCAGCGCCAACTGCCAGACACGTGAGTGAGGCCGCCTTAGACCATTCAGCCCCAGTGTGCCCTGGACGACTACACATGAGTGACCCCAGACCAGCAGAAGAACCACCCAGCTGAGTGCAGTCCAAATTGCAGACCTACAGAATTGTGAGCAAATAAAATGGTTGCTCTTTTAAACCACTCCATTTTAAGGTGGTTTGTAATCCAGCAACAGATAACACATACAACAACCTCAAGAGGTGTTTCCAAGGATTGAATAAAGAAAATGCACGGGAAGCAATTAAAATCTTGTTTGGCACAAATTAATAGCTCAATAAAACGTAGTTATGATTATTATCATGTTATTTGGAGCCAAGTTTCTTAGTTTTGGGAACCCTCCCTGTTGACCTCTCTAGTTACCCAAGTGCAAAGTGAATTGATACTGGAGAATTCTGTGAGGTCACTCTACATCTGCCTGTAGTCACCGCACGCCGGGCATTAAGTGCTGCCTCTGATGGACGTCAGCTTGCCTACTCTTGAAGGGGAAGAAGGGAGTTTCAGACAGAGACCAGCTGGCCCCAACAGGGAGTTATTTAAAGCTAAGTAAACAAGATGGTAATTCTGTGATGGACTCTTCAGTCTTCTCTGGGACCCTGGAGTTTGCCCCGAACTGTACTTTAGGGGCTCCTTCCTTCCCTTGCACATATGTTTTTTTGAGCCTCTCCTGTGAGCCAGGCACTGGTCTAGGTGCCCAGGATACAAGACAGACATCCATCTGTCATTCTAGACAGACTGACAGCAAACTGTCATATCTAATGATCAGATAGCGGTAAGTGCTCTGAAGGAAAGTGAGAGGGTGATGGGGAGATGGAGTCAGGAAAGGCTCCCAAAGGAGGTGCCATCTGAAGACCCCAGGGAAGAGACCTCCAAGAAGAGAGAACTTTGCCGTGCGAAGATCCCATCGTGAGAACAACCTTGTCATGTCTGATGAGGTTGGCGGGCGATGGGAGACTAGCAGGGCGCGAGGCCAGAGAGGTGGGCGGGGCCACTTAGGCCTTGGTGAAGTCTTTGGGTTGTATTCTAAGTAGGGAAACTTCCGGAATGTTTGTGTTTTCAAAAACTCACTCAGGCCACTTTTTAAAGGGTGGAATTGGGAGAGGGAGTAAGAGAGGAAGCAGGAGAACCAGTTAGAGGTCCAGCTAGGAACTGGTGGTGCCTTGGACTAGGGCTGTCATGGTGACAACGGGGAGGAGTGGCTGAGTTCAGAAGGTAGAGCCAGAGCATGGTGATGGAGCGAACATGGGGATGAGGGAAAGCCGGCACCGAGGGGGCACTTCCAGGTTTCTGGCCTGAGTAACTGGGTGACTGGTCATACCTTTAACTGAGGCACAGACCGCGGCGGGGCGGGGGGCAGGTCGGGGGTTGGGTGAGGAGAGAAGCAGAAGTTCTGTTTTAGATCTCCTCAGATTAAGATGCTAATGGACATCCAAATGGAGAGACCACGTGGGCAGCTGGATATGCAAGACTGTTTCCAAGAACTGGCACGTAAGCTTGGGGGTGATGATTCTAAACGGCATTTCAAGCCATAATTCTAGATGAAATCACCTGGAAGGGGAGAGGAGCGAGTGCATACAGAGGCAAGGGGACCCCACCGTGCTTGGTGGCTGATCAGAGAAGGAAGGAGCTAAGGATGGAGACAGCAGAGGAGTAGGAAGAACTGGGAGAATGCGGTTGCCCAGAGCATGGAGGCGGGGGCCCGGGGGCACCATGTGTCCTGGGCCCTACAAGGCCCTGGTCTGCATGCCTGACCCCATAACTGGTGTAGCAAAGGGGCCCTCTGCAGCACCCCCAATGCACCCCCAGAGCCCACCTGAGGGAGAGCAGAGGGCCCCTCTCTTTGAAGAACCAGGGCTTGCTATGGGAATGGCCCAGCCTCAACTGAGCTGCCCACGCACGGGAGGAAAATGCAGCTGCCTGTTTCTGTCATGTGTTCTGTTGAATCTGCTGTCCTCTCCCTTAATGGCATTTAGGGTCATCAAAATCTTGGGTCAAATCTTGGTTCTGCCACTCTCTTGCTTGCTGAGGGACCCTGTGCAACAGATTTCATCTCTCACAGCCTCAATCTCCCCACCTGTACAATGGGCAGCACACCCACCTTGCAGGATGGCTGTGAAGATAACAGATGTGTCACAGCACCCAGCTCACGGCCTTGCATTTGACAGGCACTTGTCAAACTCTGATGTCCCTCATTTCACAGAGGGACTTTCACAGAATGACTGCCACATCCAGTCATTCTCTGGGATATCTTTTCCCTGGGACTGGCCATGGCCTGGAATCCTCTCCACAGCATCCTCCTTTGCAGGCCCCAGAACAAGCCCACGTACCTTCAACAATTTAAAGGTTTACCACTAATCTCTATAGGGAAACAAAAATGTAGCAGGAGGGTGGAAAGCATCTCTGAGCCACTGTTCAAGCTGTTCCCTCTTCTTGGAATGCTGTTCCCTGCCCAACTCACTGGTGAACTTCTCATCCTTTGAGATCTAGCTGCAGTGTCACCTCCTCTCTGGGGCTTTTCCTGCTGCCCCCTCCCCAGACAGACAGAACTCTTCTACCCTCCCCTGTGTCCTTGCAGCCATGACCTCCGAGGAGAGCGGAGCACTGCAGAGACACACCCTGGCTCACTTTGGTCAGAGATGCATGGAGGGTGATCACAGAAGGAGCACTTTTGGGTCCTGCCCCTCTGCTGCCTCCCCCTCAGGCCAGCTTCTACCCACCCAGGGACCCCTGGAAAGGAATGGGATCTCATGATCTCAGAGGTGGGAACTCAGCCCTTTGGACTCCCCTGGGCCCTGTTAAAAATTAATCTGCAAGTGCCTGTGCTATCCGGAGTAGGCAACTCTGCAGAAAATTCCTGAAGAATTTGTCCCTCCCCCACCAACCCGCCCTCACTCCTCTGTTCCTGGGCTCTGAGGAGGGGAAGGACTCACCTGGGAGCTTCCCCTGGATGTTTGGAGCCTGGGAGCTATTGCCCCTGGGCCCTGGGCTAGGAAGGATGGTGACTCAAGGAAGGAGTAGATGGGCGAGGAGGATGTGGCTCAGCCAAGCAGGTCCCAAAAGTCCCAAGGGTTTTAACAATTATAGCAACAACAACAATAATAATAGCAGCTTATTGAATGCTTATTGAACACTTATTGAATGCTCACCATGTGTCAGGCCTTGGGCTAAGTTCCCCACATGCACCGTTTCATGTAATCCTTGCAATCACCCTGCGAGGGAGGTGCCATTGTTATCCCCATTTTACAGACGAGGAAATGAGGCTCAGAGAGAAGTTAAGGAATGATTGGGGTCACACTTGTCCCCATTTGTTTCAGCAGTGAACTCTTTTCGCAAATAAAATTCTAAGTAACTCATATATCAAACAGAAAAGAGCAGTACCTTTTAGTGCATGTGTCTTTTTTGGTTCAGACGTATAAATTTATTTATTCTAAAGTCAATCACTGAGAACAATGAGGTAGTTGTAATTTTTTAAAAATCTGGAGTTGGAGGGCATGGCTGCTATTTCAATTACAACAGCTTTAGCATCCATTTGACTCCTATTTTGTAAGAATGGGCAGTATCATGAAAATCCTCATTCTCATAGATAAGCAGCTACAAAGGTAACCATTTGTGAACAGTTCGCCTGCAATATCAGAATATTTTCTAATTCTTCTGATTCAGAAATTTAAAAGAGGCATAATAGGCATTTAGTTTTCAGGATGAATCAATTATCTAAAAGCTGTTCACATTCCTAGTAGAGAAAGAGGGGCAGGAGCTATCCAAAATGTACCACAAGCAGTAAAATGCACGTTAACAAAAGGTCGCCAGTTGTTGCAAAACTCCATTACGCAGAAGTTACTAAATAGAAACCTATCTAGGTATTTCACACAGAAAGGAATTTAATACAGGGAACTGATGCTTGCAAATCATCAGGAGGACTGGAGTAGTGGAAGTCAGGGGCCTCCTTCAAGGTCACACCACAATAGCCAAGGTCACTGCTACCTCCATTGCTGCTACCCAATCGTCCCGCACCTATGAAGCTGGTGACTAGACTCTGGAACATAGCGTCCAGCTACACGGTCACACTGGTCAGAACTTGTTCACCAACTACTGATGAGAGCTCCAGTTACAGGGAGATAGCTCAGTCGCGTATGAGGCTTCCATATCACAGGTGGGTGAATCTCAATGGCAGAAACTACATCTCATCCAGACCCTAGCTACAAGGGAGTCCTGAAAAAGTACTTTGTCATCATGTAGCCTCTGCAGTAGAGGGCAGACCGTAGGAGGGGTCAGAATGGATATCAAGTGCCAATGGACAATATCCAGCCCACTGTCGTGGTGGGCACACACTTTAACATGTAATGGCCAAGCCTTGTCTGGTATTTAATTAAGCATGGTAAGTAGTGGTGCAATAGTATGTACTTGCTTGTATAATTTTACATAAGCGGAAATTTGAGAAATTCAAAGGGGTAAAAAGGTGCTTATCAATGACATATTTAAAAGAAGTTAAAATGCACCAGGCTTGCTCCGGGCTTTAGGGCCCTTGCTGTGGCTGTTCCCTCTGCTGGGAGCTCCCTTCCCTAGACATCTGTGAGGTACATGCTCACTCCCTCACCTGCTTCAAGTCTTTGCTTCTTGATGAGGCTCACCCTGTCACCTGATTCAATACCACCACCCGCCTCTCCCTCCTCGGGCATCGTCTGCTCCCCGACCCTCTGCCCTACTTGTTCTTTGTTCCATAGGGCTCGTCATCTTCTCACATACTATATAACATACACATGTATTATGATCATTTTTATTACCTTTCTCCCCTGCTAGAAGGTAAGCTGCATGAGGGCAGGGATCTTTGTCTGCTCTGTTCGCTGATGCATCCCAAGAGCCTAGAACAGCGCTGGGCACATAGTAGTTACTCAATAAATGCGTGTTGTGTTATTGAGTCTATACACAGAGAAGGCAGGAGAAATTTGATTCCAAGGTTTATAGAGAAACAAGCTAACTGTGCCCCATTAAATAAGCATTGGCCCTCTCCAACGTATTAACATTCTTACACAAAAAATTGTGGGATATGTTGTTCTTCACCATAATTTTTTAAAGAGTTAAAGATATTATTAGAAATGATATACTTCTGCTTCCTGATGATAATCACAAACTGACAAGGTCAGTTGCCTCCCTCCCTCAAACCTTGCCCTGGGAGTGCCACAGAAAACCAACTTGGTAGTGGGGTGGGTGTGAACAGAAGGAAGTGAGAATATGCCAAGGTGTTGTCTTGCTGGGAAGGAAAATATAAACGTTGATAAGCTTTAGAAACGGAGAGGGGAAATTAACATAAATGAGTCATAACAATTATGAATAACCACTAAAAAAAGTTTACAGTCATTTTCAAACTGGTAGAAATAATTTTCAAATAATTTTCAAACTAGTAGGAAAAAAAGTATGGATCTAATAAAAGTCAGAAAAAGAAGGGAGAAAAAGAAACAAAAATAAAACACAATGCCTTGGTCAGGGTTCCATTGCAGACAACAGAGTCCACCCAGCAAGTTTAAAAGAAACGGATTAACTAAGGCAATTAGGTTGGTGTCAGACTTCTTAGAAGGGCTTCGAAGCAGACTCTCCTCCAGGAATAACCCTCGAATCTCATTGCAAAACTAGCCTGGCAGGGGAGCTTCTGCCACCAATGCCACCACTGCTGACTCAAGAACCTCGCTGCTCAAGTTGCTATCAGGAAAGCTGCCAAGGTAGGAAGCAGCTGACAGTCCTGTCAGCACCAAG